ATCCACTTTGATGCATTTTTCAAGTTTCGCCTTGGGGCGGAGTTATCTTTTCACAGGGGGGATAAGATACACTTTAACCTCAAATCCAGTTTTTAAATTAAATGTTGCTGAAACAGCAAGTTTCTCAGTGGATCTGCGCTCAAAAATGCAGCCTAGGTGGAGTAGTCGAACACAGATCCACTGATCCTTCAACACAGAGCATCTTCAGAAGACAAGTTGATAAAGTAAATTTTAAAACCCTGTATTGTTCAATATAAGTGTGTATAGAACCTAAAGCACTGTTCGATACGGTTCGATACGGGTACATGAATTGTTGCACCCCTTATATATATTTATATTGTTTTTGAACTTAAAATTTACTTATTTATTTTTTGTAATTTGTAGGTGTGTTATCTACCAGGGGAATATGTTTGTTCTAAAGTTATTTAGTATTRGTAAACCCCACCTGCTGTGTCACAGAAAATCTGCTTAAAGCATTTTCCTCTCAACATTTTTTATGTGTGATCAGGCTGTGGAAACACTGAAGACATTTGAGAAGAAGGACAGCAGAGTAAAAAGTGCTGCGGCCACTAATCTGTCTTGTCTCTATTTCCTGGTAAGAATCATTTTGTTACTAAATTCTAAAACTTGACTGATAGCAGTAAATATTACATATTTGTCCAGTAGTCATCTGTGGATTTCCAGTCACTCACAGTCATGTACAAAAATATTGTTTGCTGTCAAAAAAAAAACTGCCTTTGAGTTTAAGAGATGGATGGATTTTATTCCTGCTTTTCCCTCAAACCTTTACTCTGTTCCAGGAGAAGGACTATGACCAGGCTGACCGATACGCTGACCTCGCCATGAACGCTGATCGTTACAACCCTGCAGCTCTTATCAACAAGGGAAACACAGTGTATCTCAAACAGGATTATGAAAAGGCTGCAGAGTTTTACAAAGAGGCTCTRAGGAATGATTCCTCGTGCACCGAGGGGCTCTATAACCTGGGTAATCCTTGGTTTTAGCACACAGAATGTTTGCTTATTCATGACGAGGAGACTGATTTACAGTAACAGCCATATTATCCAAGAAGAGTTTAGAAGAAAACCCACTGATTAGTCTTTTCTGAAGTCATTTCAGGTCAGATGTTAGACTTCTGCTGAGATAAGTGTGCAGCACTGACCACAGATGAACTTTGGTTTGGTTGCAGGGCATAAATTGTAAATCATGTTGGTCAAAGTGAACACAGATGTTTTTTTTTTTTCTTTGTCTCTTTTCACTTTACCTTGTGGTTCATTGATATTACTGTTTTACTTTAGTTTAAAACTTAATTCGGGACAATTGGAACAAGTGAACAGTGCAACAAATAATATTCTACTATCATGCAGTTTGGTAAATGTAAATTAATGACCGCCTACCTRGGATTACAGTGATTTTTAAAGGCTAAAATTACTGTCAGTTTTACCCAAAGTTGATTTATCRTTTTCCCTCTTTAACCAGGTCTGACCTATAAAAAACTGGACCGCCTGGAGTCAGCCCTGGATTGTTTCCTGAAGCTTCATGCCATCCTGAGGAACAGTGATCAAGTCATGTACCAGCTGGCCCTTCTGCATCCTGCTCATAACAAGATTAATATGTGAATGGATGTATCTGTGTCCTTCGCTGAGTTAAAAGTTTCACAGCTTCTGTGAGGAAGACCTTACTTAGAGATTCAAACCTGCATCTCTGTTTAACATTGTGTAGTCGTCTGTCTGTCCTTAACATTTTGATCAAAGTAACGAGCAAATGGGGGATCGTCAGCAGGCAATCGAGTGGCTGATGCAAGTCATCAGCGTGACTCCCACTGACCCCCACGCTTTGGCCAAACTGGGAAAACTGTATTCTGATGAAGGAGACAAGTCCCAGGCTTTCCAGTACTACAGTGAGGTATGAAAAGTTATTGTTTGGCATAGTAATTAAACACATAAGTCCATGGTCCTGGTTAATGTAACRTGTTCTAAAGTCCTACAGGTACTTTCCCTGCATCATTGAAGTGATCGAGTGGCTCGGGCTTTACTACATCGACACACAGTTCTGTGAGAAGGCCATCCAGTACTTTGAAAGAGCCAAGCTCATTCAGTAAGTTTATATCATGGACGCTTGTGGCACAGCAGATAAAGACCCATAAGAACCGGACATCATTTGTGGAGTGCCACAGGGCTCAGTGGTTAGCCCAAAATTATTTATGTATATAAATGATGTTAGTAATGTACCCGGATTTCTAAAATGGATTATATTCGTAGATAATACTTTGTTCCAGACACAATTTACAATTTACAATATCTAGTGA